TCTCTCTTCCTCTTTTTCCTTTTTTTTTTTCTCGCTCCTCCGTCTCCAACTGGTTTTCCTGAGCGCGTGGCGCGACTCACGTCGCTTATAATAAACACATACTCGGGGGATCGTTAGTCGGCTGTCAGCCACGGAACAAAACGGTACGTCGTGAATCGAGAGCAAGGAAAAAAAAAGAGAAGCAGATTATTAGACGGAAGGAACAGGTTTACAAAAAATTCGACTCGACCCTCGAATGTAACGAGGGGCTCGATCGAACCCCGCGATGAAAACAAATTTTTTTCTAGTCACTTTTTGATAGGCTGCAAGGTGCTACTGAACGAGTATCAGTTTGCGGCACATACTTTTTTTCTAATGGAATGATCTTCAGATATCTCTCCGTTACTTATATGAATGAAATGCTGTTTGAAGCATCTGGCTCGTGTACAGATGATCGTTTTCCAGGTCTTTTCTCCTTCGTTTCTTTCTCCGGTTTCCTTTGGACACAAGCTCGGTCAACCGTGTCCTTGTAACGGTCATCTACGGCGATTATCGGTTTCCATCGCTTTTTAGTCCCTTAAAGAACTCCGAGTTCTATGCTTACCGCCAAGGTTGGCCTGAAATATCTGATAATTTTTTTATATCTATTATTTTATCGCGGGCTTCGTGAACAATCCCAAAGTTTCTGATTTTTGAATCTCACGTTGACCACACGAGAAACGGCTGCGAAACGAATCGTAGACCAGTGACATTTTCGGGCCGAGGGGGGTTGATTTTTGCGAAGGGCGCGCGCGATCACCGACGCGCGGAGAGAAAAGGGAGAGAATCCAGCCGATGACGGGTCACAGAATTGTGGATCGGTTACGAACAGTGCCAACTCGTAACCTGATAAATAAGGAAGCCCAGGGGTCGCGGTACCACGAGAGGGGTCAACTATTGAACAATGCCGGGTGCGCGGCCTTTTCACCCCTGGGTTAATATGCGGGCGACTAAACATCGGCACTGGACAATGCAAGATTTATAGATCGAAGCATACGTGACCATTGTCCAGTCAGATTTCGAATCCGGAACGACCGAGAGATTTTCGAAAACGGACGCTGCAGCCGTCTCCCGAATCCGCGGTGATTGTCGGGGTGAGAAAGGAACAGAATCGCACTTTTACCCTACATTACGGAAACCAGATGCCCCTTTGCACGATACCTTAATGACTGACCTAGCCTAATAATAGTAACGAAACCTTTCCTGCTCGTTTACTACCCCAATAAAGCTATAACTAAACAGCAAAAAAATTCGAAACAAGAGTTGCCCCAATTACGAAAATTGAGAGCAATACCTTTAACGTTTCACTGATTCATAACAAGGAACCAGATTTATGGTTTAAGGACGCACCAAAAATTGGGATCACTTCTGTAATTTAAGAAAACGTTTTCGTCATTGAATTCGGGTTGTAAGAATTATGCCAGAAATACAAAACATGCTATGTCCAATATTTGAAGAGAAATATATTGGTAGGAGAAACGCCATTTACAGTGAAATGAGGTTCATAAAATTGATCGACTGTTGAAAATTGCTATTTTAAGTTTCAGCGAAAATTACAAAATTCTGACGTTGTTATATCTATACATATTTTTCTTTATATGACATCGAAATTTTGTCATTGTCGAACATGATTTCTCTCCGATCATTCTACTATGTTTCTAATTATTACAATTGACAAGCGTGCAATACGGAACCGCGTAATCCGTGGTCATTACAACGGATATACGTTGTCGAGGCATCGTTTTTGGTAATCGGATTTGGTTTCTACGAAGCGAGGAAACCGCGGGCTCCGCGTGGACCCCGTCGTCCGATCATTTTCATTTATAGGCTTTTTTTTGTATCGACTGGCGAGGGGCTAGTTGGGTCCTCGAAGGGCGGAGCGTGGGGCTACTGCACCCTCGTAGCACCCATGCTCGAGGGGTGGACAAGCGGGAGAAAAGGGAGGTCACAGGGTGGTCAAGGCGCACGCGTTAATTCTGGTCACTTTCCAAACGTTCTGAACCAGCCGCGCTTTTTTTTCTTTCTTTCATCCTACCTCGTGTTCTGCGAACGTGTACCACCTGTCGATTTAATTATTAACTTTCGATCATCGTCTCTTGCATTCCTCAGAATGCGATATTTCTTTACTACAGTATCTTATGATTATGATAATTCCTTTCATTTTTTAGAATATTTCTGCACATTTCAGTGTATAAAAAACGTATCCTACGAATTCCTGATACTCGGATACTTAAAAGACATTCAATGTAATTTGAATCCCGCAAATTCCAAGAAAATCCGCAAAAGGGAAAATCGAACGCCCATCGGTCGGTGGCGTACCTCCTCCCGTCCACATCATATTCTCTTTTTTTTCTCCCGACCTTTTTTGTTACGCTGCGTCGACACACGATACGACCCCAAGCGCGTGCTTTCCCCGTGATTTCCGCTTTCCGCCTCAGCTGCTCCTCTCTTACCCTATTTATAGAGCCGTTTTACGTACATATATATCCGACGATCTTGAAAGGAATACGGAACGCGCGCACGCGAGTAAATTTTCCCCGGAATTCCTGAGGACACGCGTCTAGACGCGGAGGAACCGCGCGCAAGTCTTCCACCCACTTAAATCGTGTCTCTAAGCTCCCCATCAGCAGGGATTAGCAGTTCATCCAGCTCGGTTAAACACCTTTCAGAATCACGTTCCTACTTCGTTTTATCGCGACGTCGATCTCGAATAGATAAAAAAATAATTTTCTATAAACATTTTCCATTCAGTGGGAGAACATCTTTTATAAGAAACATGAAAGTAAAATCTCTCCCACATTTTTTTCAGGCTGCAAGTTTTGCAAATCATTGCGATGAACAGGCGACAAAATCGAGTTTAAATGGGAAACGGGCGACAATAAAGCGAGAGTCTCTGCCATTGAGAATGCGTTTTAATGCACTGTATCCGGACGGTGAAAAGCGACGACGTAAAATGCGCATAAAAAAGAATCTCCCAGTGAAAATGAAATCGGCGTCGGTCCCGGGCGATCGATCGATCTACAACGTCATCCTCCTCCGATTGTTGTACCATCCGTAGACGCTGACATATGGGCGATCCTTAACGAGCCACACGTTTTTCCGGAAAATCGTATTGTACAAACTGCCTGAAAATTCAACCAAACATCTGCGTTCCTCTGGAAATCGAATCGTAAAATAATGAAGTAGGATTCAATCTCGGGTCACCATGACGAATGCACAGTTTACTTAAAAAGCATGGTTTTTCTTTCGATCGGAATTTATGAAACTGCTTGAATGTAATTAAAATCGAATTGTAAAATGAAAGCGGTGGGTGCTCGAATTTTCAAGTGGCGGTATGACTGCTCCGATAGTATCTGAAAGAGTGAAAGAGATTTGAACGAGGGGCGATTATAAAGCCCCATCCCTTCTATGAAAGAATCACCTGTTGCTGGGAACGATGTTTTAACTTTTTTTTACACGCACCATCGATCTCGCATTACAACCCACTTGCACAATGGGTATCAACCTGCTATAAGAGAAGGGGAGTTTTTTTCGCTTCTCTATTAGGTGGTGTGCCATATAGGCGAAGGGTGCGTATGGAGTCGTTTTTTTACCACCGGCAAAAAACCACCCTGCATCGGATCGTAGAGATGCAAGTGCGATTATATGCATCAGTCAAAACAGAGGGTAATCGTTTGTAGGAATTTTTCGAGTACCTCCGGTAATAAATGGGCGTTTTTTGCCTTAGACAGTTTTAATTTTTTTTAACAAAAACGGGTAACTTAAAGTTTGAACCGTAATTTGCGCAGTTCCTTCGCGTTTTTCGTCGGATGCAATGTATACAGGGTGTAATTTTTTTTCAAACGTTATCCTTAACCGTTACGTTGCAAAAAGTGCGTACTTTCTACGTGAAATCGCTTTTCATTTATGACCAGTCAGAAGGATTATCCAAGGTTTTGGCCTGTCACGGGTTGCACCCCCGAGAGCGTTTAAAAAACTGCGGTGACAGATAATCCACGGCTCTGAATACTTTCCTATTGGTGAAAAGATCCGCAAAGAAAGAGTTGAAAAAGCCCAGGTACCCATTCGTTAATCTCCTTTCGGCCTGTCCGGCACCTTTTTGGCCTCGACGGGGGACCATCTCCTATTTGGGCTCTCATCTGCCGGACAAATGTTTTCTCTTGAAGAAGTATCCGAAATCCTTGCGCGTTATGTTCACGAATCGCCTCGCTCTAAACGCTCGGCAAAAAATACACGGATTTGCTTTCTAACATTCAGCACAAGTCCACGGAAAAACATTTTACTGAAAGGCGACGTAAAAAATAAAAATTCGTCATCATATCTGCTGCGTTTTCTTTCATTACGCCGAGCTCGATCCCGTAGGTATAAGTTTTGTTAAAACGAGGGTGGAATACGTAAATAGAAAGCAAGGTTTGGAATGATCGAACACATTTGGAAGAATCCATAAAAATACTCGTGTGAGCGTGGAGGAGATCATAGGGTTCATAGCCACCCTCGCAGTTCTTTCCCCTTGCCAATGGTCGTCGTTCACAAACCCACCCCTTGCCAAATCAGAAATCTGCCGCTTCCATCTCGTGTTCCTATAGCCATGGCCGATGCCTCGTGGAAAAGGAAAACATCGGACTGGCAATTACGCTTTTCTCTGGTTCGATCGATCAATTCCGCTAAAGGACGACGCGGTAGCGGGATGACTAACACCTATGGCTAGTCGAGAGCGCAAGGACGGACGCGGAGAAAATAAATGAGAGACTTGGATGCCTCGCGATTCGCGTGGGATGACAGTAAATGGGACATAGCTCTCAGATTGCGTAACAAGTTCGTCGGCGTTGCCCTAAACGGAAGAGCAGTAGGATATTACTATCTTCGTATAAAATGCATGTACTAATTCCTCTTGTATTATATAACCGATTCCGTTTATATATATTATGCAACGTGGACGTAAAGGGAAATTGGAGGAGGTGATGAATGAGTTGAAACAATAGTTTGTCAGTACGTAAGTAAACAATATATTTATCATTATCGTTATTACTAAGGCACTTGTTACCGATATAAAAATGTACGTCACAAATTATTGCCAATGAGCATATTTAAATACTGATATTAAACAACTAATTGCTTCTCGTAGTTTATAATCTCAGATATTATGAATGCGCCTAAGGGGTGTCTGAAAAAACTTGTTTTCCTTTTTCTGTTTCCGTTGTTAGACTGGTCATTAACAATGAAACATTTCACATTTTTTTTCAATAAGACAACAATTTTTTCGTAGGCCGCATTGTAAAATCGAAGGCACTTTTACAAGAGGTCATCACTCCGTCGCGATACCCCTTTTGAAATCCCCGTCCCACCCCTCCCTCCCCGCCCATCAACGTAACAACTAAATTGAGTTTTAGACTAAAAGCAAGATACGGTATTGGTAATATTAATATTATCGTTAACTAGTAATTAAAAATAATACATTAAATGTATCTGACCTGACACGCCTGGAAGCTATCGCATCGAGTGTAACACAATCGATCTCTTGATCCCCGTTAATCGATGGTAACTTTTCCTGAATCGCCCTTTTCGCATTTTCGCTTGCAAGCTTCACGTTACGATCGAATAACACATTTTGTACAAGAAACATGATGGACGCCAATAAATGAAATAAAAAATAGTTTATGAACTGTGAACACAATATGTAATATTTTTAATTGTTAAACGCGAACCCAGACTTTCATGTTTCTACGTGGGTGATAAATTTTTTATTTATAAACGTCTGCTCAAAAATCGGGTCTATCACGTTTCGTGTTGATACACATAACTACTGTACAGCGATCGCTTCCCAAGTTTCAGTCGAATAATACAGACAGTAACACAAATATCGAAAAAATATTACATGATCATTTTATTAGGTTCGTTAAAAAATAAGAAGAAAGAGGTGTCGAATACTCGCGCTACTCGCACAGCATGAGCGTCGTAATAGTTGAACGATGAAGTCAAACGTGCGAGTAACGACTTGCAAAAGTCTGATTCGCGTCTCCGGAACTTTTCCTTGCTGTGGGAAAAGACAAGAGAGCTTATATCCCAATTTTTCACATATTTTGATCAGTTCTTCCTATCTTTTTCTTAAATTTATTGCATGATCCTCGGTCAGTAGACGTAACAGCGACGATTCGATAACAATGATCAAAAAACAGATCGACTTCAACAAAACAATTTATTGCATTTTGAAAGTTAAAATAAAATTTTCCTATACTCTGATCGCTTTACCTATAGAAAGAAGTAGGCCGGTGAAATAAAATTATTAAGTGCGTGATCGTTATCACTGAGGCACAATGTTTTATCAAAGTTATCGCCGCATTATTTCGGACTAACAAACAATTGTTACGTCAATCCCCGATTTTTTCTCATTCTATCCTTTCTTCCTTTTTCTTTTTCTTTACGACGTACATATGTATACACTTATACGCTGCCATGTAACTAAATATACATTTACGCATATTGTCTCCGTTTTACTGATTCGCTTTGATTGTTAACGAGATTGTTCTACAGATTGTTTCACGAGAAACAGACAAAGTACAAGATTAACGGCCTCTTGTTCTCTTTCGTCGTTTCCTCGTTCCCACAAGCAAAAAAGAAGGAAAATACGGGAAAGAGGAACGCGAAGAATCCTTAAGGCTAAAGAGATATTTAAAAGATAAATTCTATAAATATCATATACTCTCCTTTTGTAATCTCCATTATATAACTGTATATGTAGTATAAAACGTAAGAGAATTTTACAATCTAACAAGTGATTTCAAAATACCAATAACTGCAATTCGTAACAAGTATAGACTTTATATATAAAAAAAATATATATATTCATTTTATGTCACCCCTCTCATCGAAGTGTTTGTCCTATTTTAACAATTACCACATGTTCACATAAACATCTCGTATGGACGGTTATTGCTTTAAAAAGACGACGACTTCAATCACTATCGTCGTTTCTAATCGATTGCAAAGAAAAGGCACTTCGTTTAAGCATAATCGCTTCGTAAAATAGTCTGAGCATTATCGACAATCAATTGCAGTGCATGCGTATTTTATGTACGTGTGACTTTGGACACACGATTCGCAGAAATCTGTTTCGAATCTTGAATCATACACGTAACACGATTTGCTCCGTATGCCAACTCTCAAGTATATAGACAAGTGTTCGTGTGTTAAAAATGCTTCGATACTTTTAGACGTTAGGCGTTTCGCTTCCGTAAACATCGCGTGAAGATCACCGCTCTGACTGAATATCGAATAAAATATCGTATTATCGAACATCATACCCCTTTTCTTGATAATTCTTGCTCTACGCGCAGCGGTTCCCTAAGAATTGCACTTATTATTCGCGCTTTCGTTCACGATTTTTCAACGCCGTTGAAACATTGTGAACGTGTCAGGTATGGTGTTTCTCCACTTCTTTTTTAATATGTAAATTTAAATCACACGCGAGATCTATGATCGATAATAATAAATCTGATATGTCATGATATCAGATTACTCTTGTAAATCAACATGATATAAATATAATTAAACAACAATTTACTTGTCTACTCCGTACTATCGGGAAGTAATAATCTTTCTTCCGTAATCGCGTTCTCCATCTCCATGCCCGATGGGGCACACTTCATTAAATATTTATTTTACCCGCAATATTCAGTCCTCTCTCTCGCTCTCGCACTCTCTCTCTATGATACTTTAGTATAGAAATACAAACTTATATACAAAAATGTTTTGGGGACAAAATGCACTCATGCACGCATACGAACATACGAACACACTCAAACACTCTAATAATAAGAGAGGAAGAGAAAGATCCGAATATGTTTCTCATTTACATACAAGATGTCCTAAAAATTGCAGACAACACTGCAGATTGGTTTCCTTATCGAATTCAAATTACTGCATATCAAGGATGGTAAAAAAGGAAGTACAATGGTGAACAAGGGACGGTTTCTCAAGAAGCCTCAACAATATATAATAACGGCCTGCTCAAAACTCTCAACAATATTTTCGGGAAGACTGGACAAGCTAGCCATGAACACTAGACGCTCAGGGCTTCAAGATTCACCATTTTTTTTCACCAGCTCGCGAATAATGTAATGCAGAACGCAGAATTCGATAAAAATACAATTCAGCGATTCGGTGTCAATATTTGTAGGACATCCTGCGAATGTTTCTTGTACACACATCTCTGTATATACGTTGAGCATAGCGCGTTCTAATTAAGGCTTCGTCCCACTTAAACTTTATAAAATTTTTCTCGTTCACGAGCATTATTTTCTTTTTGCTTTATGGAATTGTCGTTACTTATTGGTAAAATACCCCAGAATCATTCCATTCAGTTTAGGCTTATGAAAATTGTAATTTTTTGTTTCTATTCAACGAGTTGATTTCTTAAATTGTTTGCCTATCATAGACAAATGCCACGCCCTCATACTACAGCCACGTCAGCACGTTCCCAGCTTTTGTCGTATTGGGATTTATTAACGATTGCACGTCGTCCAGTATATCACTACTAAAATCCTCGCTCAACTGCGGACATAAAAGTTAAACGTTTAACGTCTACAGCGCCCTATAAAAATGTATTCTCAGTAATGCTAATCCTGCATATAATTAGTTAAGTACCTGTAACGATGGGACAAGGTCGTCCGTCGAATCTATATTATCGCTCAGTGTTGACAGATCTGGGGTCTCCATAGGTGCACCCCCGTCTATAAAACGAACAAAGAACATCTTATCGAAATACGCCCGACATGACTCTGGGAATCCCAAAAAATATTAATTGTTTACATCGTCCCCAATATTTCACACGTTATCGCTTTACTCATACAATACGCGATAAAATGATCATAATAGAATATTATATGTGCAAATAATATCTCACCGCTTGTGCCGTCCATGTTATCATCGATGTTCGCAAGAAAATCTTCCGGCGTGTGAGGAAGAGAGTAGGCAGAACCAAGTCCCAGACCGCTGTCCGCGCTCTCCTGGCGTGCGTGTTGTTCGTTGATTCCCGATAAAAACGGATCCATAGCGGCGTCGGTGGTACTCTGTCGTAGCATTAGCTCTTGCTGTAGATAAAAAGAATATCACGTCATTATTAAAATGAACCGGGAAATAATAGAGATGCTTTACAAAATTGAGCTAATCACCTGGCGCATAATTTCCTGTTGCCGTTGCTTGAGACGCTCACGTTCCATCTGTAACGACTGAAGACGAAGTTTCTGCTGACACGCTTGCAACGTTTGATTATTCTGTATACCGCCACCAGTGGGTTGCTGCTGCTGAAGCCAATTTTGTGGTAACATCGCACCAGAGGTTGGAGCTCTTTGAAGATGTGTTGCTAAAAATCATAAAGAAGAGTTGTAAGTTACGTCATCGTTAAAGGCATCATTCGAGCCAATCTACGCGAGCGCGCGGTGTATCGGTAGATAAACTTACGAATTCTTGGATCGAACCACGAGGTGGTACGTGTCTGATGATTGATGAAATAGATTTCTCCTTCGGGGGTACGCGCTTGTTCCCATCCGTCAGGTAATGGGCCTAGAGAATTGGTCGCGCCGGTCGTGGATTTCCCGTTGTCGACGGCGGCGGCGACGGCCGCCACGTTCGCAGCCGCTGCCGTTTTCCGAGGATCCTCCCATGTCGTGGTCCGCGTCAGGTGGCTGAAAAATAAAATTATAACCGCGGATTTAGAAGTCGTCGTCGTCGTGCTATTTTGCACGTATATCAGCGTGGTGGCCCCCGTGCAGAAACTGAATACGCCACGGCGCGTACAGTTATCCACATATAGTAGGCGCATTCTAAAAATAGTCCCATTCAAAAGACGATGCGAAGGAGTAACAGGCAGGCGCCTAGCGGTAGTTAGCACACAAGTTTTAACTCGTCTCGAATAAAACCTGCTGTTTCGCGAAATTTTCCCCAACGATGTCCAAGCCTCTCTCGAATAAAACCGACGATACATGACAATCTCTCTTCATTTACCAACATAAGAATCATGACGTATTAACAAATCTTTTTTCGTAAATTGGACTTTTCTGCTTGTAATCATTTTGCTGAGCTCCGCCTGTTCCTGGGATAATTGAATCGAGAAATCCAATTGCAACTGAATACATCATATTGTATTTTGAAGCGTTTCGCGGAATCGAACAGCGCCAGCACCTTTATATCGTATTTCTGCGTACGTGTGAGCGCGAACTCCGTTTTGTGAAGTTACAACACAAACTCCGGTGCACGAGTCCTTGAAATCGTGGTCCAGACCTAATTCGATTGCCTAGTAGTATAGTTTTTCAACCGAGCATCGCTAATTCTAAGAGTTTTGAACTTTATCAGCAGGGAGACGTCGATCTTCTATTTGAATCATACTCATTTAAGAAAATAGGAAAAGACATCGTTTCGTGGATGAATGCAGATCGGACCTGAAGGGGACGAGACCGTCGAAACGGATTTACTCGCATGAAAACACTACGTTTCTCGGTCGACAAAAATAGCGGCTAATGGCTGTGATTGCCGATCCTCATCGTCTTCCTTCTACCTAACGTTATTTACCTTACTCGCGTGTCATTTTTCAGCCCGAGAGGAAGTAGAAAACACTACATCGGGTGCACCGTGCACTCTTATTTACCTTCGTGAAACGAATACCTTTGCGAACCGGCTACCTTGCCTGACTCCAAGGAAATTTTAGACAACCGGGGAACATGCGGCGCGCTTAACACGACACCGTAATTGACAATTTCTAAAGCTGCAAAGCGTCATACCGAGTAGCCACCGACGCGATTCGATCAAAATCCGGGCGTAGGAAGGCGGCTTTCGGGGATTGAGGATTCTCGAAAAGCTACGTGACGAACTGTTTAAATCAGCCGCGATGCGCGATGAATTTCCTCGAAACGGGACGCGGGTCTTGAATCACCAGAAAATATACTGTTGTATATTGCCAAAAGTGTCGCTCGTTTGCATACCGTGCACGATGACTTAACGCGTTCTCGCTTAAGTCATCGGCGGGGACATAAACAAGTTTGTCTAAATCGGCACACCGCGCCGATGTATCCCCGTGCACCGGTCGCTCCGGTGCGCGGTATTTCCGAGCGGGAAACAAATCTTCTTACACGGTTAATAATACCTACCCGCCGGAACACAAACGCGTTTGACGTAGTTTTAACATTAAGAGCATTATCCAATCGGGATATATCTGATCGACCTTTCTAATCTGCACCGTTTCCAACAAACTGACTGCGAATCGAACGGGCTTTCCTCGATCCCCGGATAACACGACCTACATAAGATGAAAATTTCAATTTTAACTCGAGCCCTTTATGCACAGTTACAAGTCGCTACATTCGTCTTTCTTTGCCGCTGGCCCCACTCTTCAATAGTCCCGTGATCGAGAGAAATACGCCTTTCCCTGCTGGCTAAGAAAATAACAGGAAAATCGTGTAACAAGGCTGCGGCCGGCCACAGGAAAAAAGGAAGGAAAACAGATCCGCTGCGAACAATTTTTCCGCCCGAGGCGGATCATCCTATCGACGTCCATCTTAAAGGCAGTACTTTACGCTTTTTCCTACGGAGAAATCTCCTAACTTTAATTGATGAGTCGAAACAGAAGCTTAGCCAAAAGTCCTCGTTTGACTACATAAAAAATTAGAAAGGCCGTCGTCATTGGCTGAGAAAGCGATATTTCTCGATTTTTAAGCATTAAAAGGAATTGAATCGTTAGATGCATAAGAAATAGAAAACAAGCTTCAAAAGCTTCCTAAACGTTCAAAGCTGCCTTACCTATTGACATGGATTTGAAGGAAAGAAACGGTGGGGGCAGAGAGGAAGAAATTTGAAAATCTCCGGGATGCGTGATCGGTGGCATAGCAGAATACAGAACGGCGGCGTGTTCCAAAAGCTACATGTCGCGGGGTCTCTCCGAGAGCGGTTGGATACGTTCCAAGAGATGGAGAGAGAAACAGCAATAGGAGGAACGAGAACGAGGTAGATCTAGGCGGAAGAGAGAGAAGGATAAGAGAGAAGGGAAAAGAGCGAGAGGTAAGGAAGCTAGGCAGGCAAGTAAGCCAGGCAAGCAGGCGAACAGGCAACCGAGCAGCCAAGCAGGCAGCTCGAGAGCATTGGAGAATTACAAGAGGGTTTCTGTGTGGCGCACGGCATACGGACTACGATGTATTTTTACTCCGGACATCACGGCGCCGGACAACTCGTAAATAGACACTCTCGCACCGACGCTCTCTTTCGCCTGCCTGCTCTTCTCTCCCGTCATCGTCGTCGTCGTCGTCGTCGTCATCGTCGTCGGCGTCGTCTTGGTCTTGTCGTAGTCGTGCTCGTAGTCGACGTGCAGTTCGTCGTCGCTTCCACCGCTCGGTCTCTACCTGAGGGAATTATACCTTTCGTGCGAGAAAGATTAAAAGGCGACAAAGTGTGCTCTCCAGGTTTTTTTACCGGAGCAACATAATTTATAATGCTAATGCGCTATGTTTTAGCGCATTTTTAATGACCCTAGGAAATACCGCAATAAAAGAAAAACATTTATTACGGAAACAACCTAACGACCCATTATTATGCATATAGATTGTTAACTACATTATTTTTTGTACATCCTGTCTGATGCATTTTAAAAGTAAAACCCCAGTATACAGCACGATGAAATCGTGAGATTAGCGCGATAATCCGGATTATCGTATCAGATTATTGTCTTTGAAATTCTGAGAAATATGTGTGTATCTTTCGTGTACCTGAAGCAAGATACTAGCAACAATTGAAGATAGAAGAATCAGAGTTTCACGCGTGATTGGAGTGACTCTTTGTCATATCTACTCGACGAATTGAGTCGTCGTTCGACAAAGTAGAAAAGATGCTCGTCGTTAAGTAGCAAAGCGGCGCAGCGAGAGCAAGTCGAGAGCGAACCGAGGACGCTCGAGCTGCCTTGAACTTTCGATACATTCGTGGTATTCCCGGAGATTTGTCCTCCGATCTGGCATTCGCGTTCTGCGGCCGAGACTACTCTCTCGTTTACAGGTGTGTCGGGGTCTTTAGCCTTCCGAGTGGCCGAGTAAAAACCTCCGTCCTCAGGGGGGGGCTTTACCTACGCCTTGCCGCTATAATGCCTCCGAACGGAAAAGAGCACGACCTATCCGACCCGTTCCGTGGAAAATATCGATTACTTTGCCTCCGCGCTGCAACACGCTTGACAAAACGTTTTTGATCAATGCAAAAATGATACGATACGTTAGATAAAAACATAATTAAACGTTTTATTGCGCTGACTTGTGCAATAACATTTTCCCAAGCGTTGTATGACTTCATTCACTTTTATTTTATTGTACGTTATATGTATATTACGTCTGATATGCATGTGAGTACACAATTAAATAAGAGCAACCGAGTGCAACGTAATACAACACGTCGCGCGATAATGTGAATAGACATTTTTTTAAGAAGCCGGATTTATCGATTCATTTTGCTGCTCGTTTCGTACACGATAAAATACAAGTAGATCGGACGTGACGTACGCGTAAAATAAAGTCTGCCGTGCGTCGTTTATCTCGCGTTTTTTAGTTACACTCGCGTCACGAACGTTATTTATCGTTCTCTACCTTTCGCTTATCGAGAGGACCGTTTTTAGAGACGTGGTACAGCCAAACGAGAAACGGATTATTCCAATTCGATACACCGTACTCGTTCCAACAATCAACGCGTTACATACGCGTTGGATTTCTGGAAAGAATTGCACTTTACACGTGAACCCTTCGATAGTACCAGAGGAACGTTCGGAGTAATCCTCGGTACTCGCGTTGCGCAAGGATCGGCTGTTGTAATTTTGAAATATAACGAGAACCGCGGGTATAAATAATCGCGCAGGGGGGAAAAACCGATGGAAAACGCGTGTCTATACTCCTGGACTGACCCTGAACACAACAGGATGCCGATGTCGCGCGCGCGTGCAACTTTCACTGCATTCGAAAATGCATACTAAACGTCCTCGAAATGAATTTACGAGCAAAACAGTCAGGATTTATATCGGCTCATTCGATCCCGTTCGCGAATTCGATTCTCTCCTGGCTATTATTGCCACGTATCTATGGAAGCTTGTTATATGCATACATGCATACATATTCAGGCACCAAAGATTAACGTTGTTCGCTGCCATGAGGAAGTCGCGAATCAATTTTCGTTTAGCGATTTCGTTCGCCAAACAATGTCAGGCAACTTTCTGGAGATTAGGTGTAACCCGTTCGATTCTGAAGAACGCTCTGGAAAATTACGCTAAACGAGAGCGCGGAATCATTCATTTGTTTTACAAAAGTGGAAGTTGGTTCGAAAGGCGCCTCGTTAGATAACACATGTAATTTGACAAATCGTCTTAGACGAGCGAGGGTTAAACTCTTTCCGTGTGTGCGCAATAGTCGCGTACTATTTTCAGGCAATTCTGACTAATCCAGAGTTATTCTGAGCTCGTTGTCTATGTATAATGGCCAGAGAAGCTACCGTTCGGTTTTTCAGTTCCTCTAGCTAACGCGGCAATTCCAAAAACCTAAAGAAAGAAGATGAGCGCGTTCGACAAACAACCAAGATAAAACTGGATCGCTAAGAACGAATAGAGGAGCTGCGCGAATTCCACGGATAAAATGTGACTCCGCTCGTGACTAATGTTTCGTCAAATGATACAGTTGACGGAAAACCTTGGATGCTTGCTCTCTGGTGTGTTCACCTGGTGACGAAACGTGTTTCTCGAGCTGGCAAGACCTTTCGTTGCGAGCCACACGCCTGCACACGCTCGCGTTTAAGCTAGCGAACGCGCATCGCGATAATGTCCCCACAAACATTTTCTTCGAAGGTAACAGTTACAAAACAGTACTTGATCAAAAATCTTCAGGGTTTCATCTCCAAGGCTTATATATTAGCTATCACATTATGTAGTTTATTACTTCTTAAATCTATGCTAAAAGCCTGAAACGCTGTTTACACCTATTCGATGAAACGTAATAGAAGATCCCCGAGGAGCAAAGGAGGATCACAAGGTTTCGTTTCGTCGAAATACAGTTGCTCCTCCTCGCTGGTATGTAATACGCGAATCTAGCTAACGGGACTATCGTATAAGATTATACGGCGAGTATACGACGTAGCCGAGCTACACGCTAGCCGCGGCAAATGAAAAATCCGAGAATAAAAGAAATAGGCGAACACTGTCCAGGAAGCCACGTTTTCTTTACGATTGCGTGAAACTTCGCGCGCGGAAAACGCGACTCGCTTTCGCGAGCGAATTTTGAACGTTCATTCGTGAAATCATTCTCCTGAAACGGAGGTCCTCTCTGTCTATTTCAAATCGTTTGAAAGACTCGTCGATGATGATGATGATGATGATGATGACAGAATTGAGATACTATTTCACAGACGAATTGTTTCCTTCGAGACAAGCTTTTTGGTTTCTGAACGCGATACAGAATGCGAACAGGAGGAAACGGTGACAAGCGGCCGCGACGTTTCCCAGAAGGATTTCAAAGAATCGGTTTGTCCGCGGCTCGAGTCACGTTTCAATTACGCAAATTAAATTCTAATAAGTCCCGCTTCTGGATAAGATCCAAAAGCTCGCGGCACGGACGTGCCAGAGGTAATTGGACGAACGTCGCGAGAGGAGAGAAGACACAACGAGTGCCGTCACGGTAGTCATTACTGCATAATACAACAACCTCGGTTGGCTGCACTTCTTTTACCATCGACCATTACCGAGAGTCTCGACTCTGCTCGCGCCCGCTGTGTTACGTCTATCATAAGGGAATGCCATGCTTTTTCTCGTTTCACGAACGATAATTCAACGCGGCGTACACGGCTCTATGTATCTGATTAATAGTCCACCGAACGATTAAATAGTATTTGCGTTGGATCACAGCATGAACCGAATTCGAGTATAAGCGTTGTATCAGGCGGATTAGCTCTCTTGGCTGACTGCTATCTGCCAGAACATAATTATTCGCCGAATAGCTCCTTCCTTCTCTTATGTCTTCTCATTCCGCTTCCTGTATTGCGAATAGTGTTACCGACGATCTATGATGCTTAAAAATAGTACTTAACAACAAAAACAATCAGTTTTGACTTTCTAGAGAAGCGGAAAATGATCTTTCAATGAACTATTCACTGAACTCAAATCATTTCTTCCAATTAAGATCTCGTATGACTTACGATAGAGTAACTACATTAAATTTAGTCAGAGTTAAAGCCTTGTGCTGTGTTGAGCATTTAAGTACGTAGAAAACGGCAGCGTATACGTAGAAGTTATGGCTTGAGATCGACGGATAGATTGTTTAATTACGTTTTTATGTAACATTTGTGCGGCGCTCGGTGGAGCGAGGACTAATTAAGGATGATTCTTACGGTAGCGATTAAATAACGATTAATGAGAGACACGGTAATCGTAAAGGAAACGTCAAGGATGCATTATCGTCCGAACTCAATACCTATCGACGAGTTTTACGACTTTCACGATGCTATCTCGGGATCGGCAGGGCTCGTCGCGCGACATCCGTCCGAGTTTCGCAGGCTGAAAAATATGAACAGAAACGATTTTCCTGAACAGAAAATTACCGTTTAAGAAAAACAATCTTTGCGATACTCGCCTACCATCCCAACTTATTACTATGTTACGGGCATTAGAATATTCTAACATCTCATAAATATAGGAACAAAGGAGATTTTCGTCGCCTTAGCAAAATTTTAAAACGAGTATTAACGGAATGTGAAAGGTTTTATACGATACTCGGAAAACTTAATTCTGGTATTTCCCAGGACCCGGACCGTCTTTTGTCCGATCTGACGATTTTTCGAGCCAGGTAGAATTCGCAGTCGAAACAGAAATATATGGGGTTCGACCGTTAGGGTCAGGTACGCCTCTTTCAAGGCGAAAATATATAGACGCAGAAATTACTCGTACTTTTTCTTATGCTGAGAAAGGAAGGGAGAGGAGGAAAAAGGGAAGGAACGTAGGGTACAGAAATGAACGTATACTTGGAAATGAGACGAAGAACAATACGGTCGGCTAAAGCGAATGAAAGCCCTCTTCAATCGAGTTTCAGAGAACGTTGAGCAGGAGAGACGGTGAATATTTACAAAAGCACGGGTACAACTGAATGAACGTGAGTACCTTCGTTCGCGGGAGTAGCTGTTATCAGCACGGTGGAAACGTATCGATTATCGTTTGCGTATCTCGACGTGACATCAAACGTTCGGATTAACGAAATCGTAATCGGGCAACGAAGCAAACAAAGAGTAAAGTGTAACACGGCCGATTGATCGAGTTATTCGAGGAAAACATGTGAACTCATACATCAGAACTATATGTAGCAATCCGCTTCGATTGTTTATCGGAGATATGAAAATGGAACGAGTGAACAATCCTCTGCTGCATACATGAAACGGAAAACAATTGAAAAACATTATGAATGAATGAGATGCCAAACATGCCAATGAAAGGAACTGGACGTTATGAATGAATGACTTTCAGACGAAAATTGATTAAATAACTCGAAATCAAACGCGATAATCCGTAAAGAGAAGATCCGTAAAAACACGTACGCCAGTGTCGAGGGCGGATGGATAGAAGGGGGCGAAACGAGGCGACAAAGCACACGGGGAGCGTTTCCCACGACAGGTGACACGTGGGAATCCCAGTTATGGCGCAGGTAGATCAGGTTAAACGAGCAAGACGGAAGACGAACGCGGGGGTGGGAACCGGTAGGTATCAGGTAGGCGGCTCGGGGATTGACAAGGAGAGCCGACGATGCGCGATGAGAGAAAGATGAGAAAACGGGATGCCAGGGACCGACAAGGATACACGAACGGCTCGCAGTGGGGAGGCACGACCGAGAAATGGACGAACGGAGAAACAACGATGAGTAAGTAGAGTTGGCGATAAAGACGGTAAACGGCCTTGAGGTATGCGTGGGACCCGCACACGACGAAAATGCAAGGCGATCAATCGGAGCAGCAACGGAGTCAGAGATGATGTTTTTAATTCCAGTTGTTTTTACTTCAATAAATATAGGAATGTGGGATCTGGCAAGCTATACGATCTAAACGGCACGCCAACCGTTCCGTAGTCTCCTCGTAAACATCTTCTCGTTCAGGTAATGTCATAAAAAGATCGGCGCGGCTGCGAAACTTGCCTTTACGAGGGAAACCTTAAAGTGTCCGTGGACTAAGTAGACTTCACTGACCCTAACGAGACTCACATATACAGACGTCATTCACAGGCGAAGCGGAGAGTCTGAGAGATCAGGATAAGACAGATTAGCGATGGAATATGCCAAATGAGGAAGATAAGAGGGAATAAAGTAAAATGAGGATAAGTATAGGTTGAAGGAGTGTAACTCACTTAAGGAAGTAGATCTGTCCCTCAGGGGTGCGCGCCTGTTCCCATCCATGGGGCAGGGGACCCAGGTCGTCGACCGTACTGATGACGTCGTAGCTGCGTTGCTTCTGGTGATGGTGGTGACGCGCGTGCGGCTGGGGCGCGTGCTGAGGCGCCTGCTGTGCCGAGGCGTAGGTCTGCTGAAGAGAGGCCGGGCTGCTGTGGGCGCGAGGATGAGCGACGGTGAGGCCAGCCGCGGCGGCGGCCGCGACTACGGCCGCGGCCGCACCTGCGGCGTTTGATCCGCTACCAGCGCTGTTCCCACTGCCGCCGGTGGCTGCACCTGCTGCTCCGGTAGCCGGTGTACCGCTGCCGTTGCCACCAGGTGTTGGCCCGGCGACCGCCGCAGCCGCTACCGCGGCTACTGTCCCGAACGCAGAATCCGCCGAATTCTCCCGGGAATGCGAGATCGAGGGACTCTTGCTGCCCGTCGACGGTGGATTAAAGAAGGAATCTGGTAGATTGCGCATGCGCAGCGGCACTTGCAGTGGACGCTTAGAGTCTGGTTTCAGGACGCTGTCGAAGAGAGCCTGTAGATCCGATTCAGAGTTTTGATCGATCCTGACCACGAGATTACTCTTCGACAACTGGTCCACGTCCTGGTTCAGCGCCATTTTGGATCACGCACTCTAACACGTTTCTCGTGTGTGTCTTTCCCTCTCACGCTCCCTCGTTCTCTCTCTCGTTCCTTCTCTTCCTCGTGTCCTGTACACAGTCTGGACTACGTTTCGTTCTTCTTTATTTCTATCTCCTTTTCTCACCGTTCTTTTTTCTTTCAAGCGTCTCTTTTATATTCTACCCTTCCTGTCTTCCTCTTTCGTCACACCGCGATTGTCTCGAGAGAATCTTCTCTATGTCTGCACCTCTCTCCTTTCCCCTTTTGCACGACGTTTGCCGTTCCGTTCTTTTACGATACACCTATGGGCATTCGTGCATGGCACACAACACCAATATCTTCTCTATTCGAGGCGTACACACCGTCTCGCTCTCCTCCGTCACTCTTCGATTCCTCGATAACGCGATCGCCTCTTCTCTTTTCCACCTGTGCGTTCCGCGAGAGACAACAAAACAAGCAGGACAATGCCGCCGCCGCCGCCGCCGCCACCGCCGTCGTCGTTGGTCGTTGCCGCCGTCGTTGCACTTGCAGCTACTGCAGGGTCCCCCGTTCTACCAATTCCTTCTACGATGCACCCTCGAGTTTTTCAAAGAGTTACGCCTCCTCCACCTCTAACCACAATATCGCGCACCAGGAGAAATCGACTCGTTTTGCTAGCCGGCCGTCTAGCAAACGAGTGCTAGCGTTCACCGTGCGTGGACACGCGATTACATGCAGGGCCTAGAAATTCCTGTATCTTCAAGTGGAGCTCAATCTCTCGCGACCTCTGCTCCGTGTTCTTTATACTATGTCTACATTGGCGGTCTCTTTAGTAGCATAAACTTTTTACGCTTTTTATCACTTCTCCTAGCAGTACACGAAGAAACGGTCTACAGAATCGCTCTTTCGAAGAAAAAGTCTACACGTTAAGTAGATCTTGTCTTATAAAAGAAATAGTATACATGTTTTTTATTACCGTCCTAAGTAATCATTCCACTTGTAATCTTCGTGACCGATGACATAGGTTTTTACGATATCCTTTATTATATTCTGTTCCAATTACTATTATTGTGCCATCGCGAAAGATTTGAATGTCTGTTGTTTTAAGCAGATTATACTTTTCACTTTTTCGTTCGGACAATATTAAAATTTGACATTGTCGAACACTGTAGTCTTAAGTACGGTTTTCACGATTTAGTAAACTGCTTTAAGCATAGGATATAACAGTTGGTTTTAATTATTTGTATGGACAACTATATTTGCTAAGAACCAAATAAACAGAATAACAATTATTCTGTGATTATAATGTCCGATTTTTCGCTTATCATGAGTTAATATATAGAATGCAGACGATCAATTCGGTTGACTTTGAGAATATTTCTCAGGCGAACCATCTGAAGTACTGAATGCTCGATGGTTTCGATATTTCGGTTGGTTGTGTGGTTACTTTAATTTATTGACAAAAATGTAACACTTCTATTTTAAATTGACTATGTTTTTACAACCGGAATGATATCTGTTTTATCTACGTTAAGTTATTTGTGTAAATATTGAAGGTGTTTTTATTCGAGTAAGAACTCGACACAATAAGCGAAAATGTCTTCGAAGAGGTATTTAATTGTTTTTACTTCGTGTTTTTAAACTTGCAAGCATTTTGCGAACTTATGGATGGAAGTTATTTGTAGCTAGAAGGGATTATTTCTTGTTCTTTACAGCGTTCCATTTGTTATGTGAAACAATTGTAGTTGATATTGATTCTTTGTTTCTTTGTTAACCTGCATTAACAATTTAGTCGCATTACCTGGTCTACTTGAGGTTACTCTGATTTTACTCCTTAAGTAGATTTCAAAGATATCAATTTGCAAATTATTTAATCTTACACTAACTGAAGTCTTGTATCTCCTGTACTGTGATTTATAAATATCAATGTAAATGTCATAACTAATAAGTAGAGCGTCTCTATCTCACATACTTCATACATAGTTATTTTGCACATAGTAAAATAAAAGAGTAAATATAAAATGTATTCTTCATATCACTTCACGTATCATAATATATGGATATCATTAATTTAATTAAGAATTTAAATACCTTTTCAGTGAATTGAAAAAGTTGTCTGAAGAAAGTTTAACAAGACAACCAGAAGAAGTATTTGATATAATATGCAAGTTAGGGGAAGGGTAAGTAGATCTATAGACATGATTTAAAATGGATAGAATTATTTGAATAGATAATATTTGTGGTAGTTAACAATGTTAACAATTTACATCTTTATTGCACAGATCTTATGGATCTGTTTACAAAGCACTGCATAAAGAGAGTGGACAGGTACTTGCCATTAAGCAAGTGCCTGTTGATACTGATTTACAAGAAATTATAAAAGAAATCTCTATCATGCAACAGTGTGATTCTCCATATGTTGTTAAATATTATGGAAGCTACTTTAAGAACACTGATTTATGGGTAACTTTAAAACAATAACTTTAAACAATATTGGTACAAGGGTCTGTTTACTGCCTGTATTGATCAAAACATACTTTTACAGATTGTAATGGAATATTGTGGAGCTGGATCTGTGAGTGATATTATGAGGTTAAGAAAAAAAACTCTTCAGGAAGATGAAATAGCAACAATCCTCAGTGATACCTTAAAAGGTTTAGAATACCTTCATCTAAGGAGGAAAATACATAGAGATATTAAAGCAGGAAATATTTTACTCAATAATGAAGGACACGCTAAACTAGCTGATTTTGGAGTAGCAGGACAATTAACTGTAATTGTTATTACAGAGTACACATAATGCTCAACTAATAAGAAGTTAATTAATTACTTAAAACTTTTCTAGGATACAATGGCAAAACGTAACACGGTTATAGGAACACCATTTTGGATGGCTCCAGAAGTAATACAAGAAATTGGATATGACTGTGTTGCAGACATATGGTCTCTTGGAATAACTGCTTTAGAAATGGCAGAAGGCAAGCCACCATATGGTGACATACATCCAATGAGAGCAATATTTATGATACCAACTAAACCACCGCCTAGCTTTAGAGAACCTGATCAGTGGAGTTCAGAATTTATAGACTTTGTCAGTGGGTGCCTTGTTAAAAATCCAGAAGAAAGAGCTACTGCAACCGAGCTTTTGAACCACGAATTTATAGGTATAACATACAATACTTAAATGAATTTATGTTTATTACAGTTTAATAATTTATCATAGGTAATGCCAAACAACCGAGTATCTTGAGTCAAATGATCGCAGAAGCACACGAAATACGGGAGAAACAAAGCGCACATCGTGCTCACGTTATCAATAATGTGGCAATCAAGAATCAAAACCAAGCCGATGATTCGGTACGTATATCTATCAAGGTTAATTAGGGTTTATATTGCACATGTTCCTAATTATAATGAATGTTTGACGTTGATCATAAGGACGAAGAAGACTGCAGTGGAACGATGAAACCTTTACCAGAGGATACAGGAACTTTAGTACCGAGTCATGATCTTCCGGACACGGGTACGCTTGTTTCTGCCATGTTGGACCTGGGAACAATGGTTATTAATAGTGATACCGATACCGAAGCAACTATGAAACGTAAGTAGATGACAAAGACTTAAGGAAAGAAAAAGGTGACGAGCATGATTTGTTCACAGGACATAACACGGGTTCAGTAGAATCTGGAAAGAAATATCGGCCATTATTTTTAGATCATTTTGACAAAAAGGAAGCACCTGAAATAGGAAAGGTAACACTCGCATATTACTCGTGAGTCTATTTCATATTGTATATTACGCAATTGATTCCGTGATCATTAGGGTAACGGACAAATGCTCGGGACACACAATCAAGATACCGAGAATAAAGTAGAATTGCGAAGTCCAACAGAATCTCAAAGGTTTCAAAGTCATCTACAATTACAGCTTAATCAGATTTCTCATCCGGTACAAGAACAGCCTCATAATAACATATCTAAGTTCCAAAATGTCTTCACAGAACGTGATTTCGACTTCGTAAGTAGTAAACTGATAAGAAAGATCTCGAGAGCGCATAAATTAAGAATTGTTTTGCCAATGTTTCCTGCTTTCCTTAATTTAAATTCGATCGGCGTAGTGCCGCCTTAGGCATTATTAAAAGAAACTTCAATATAGATAAACAACCATATCCTGCAGCTGAAGTTTCTCTCATACGAGGAACTGCAGCAACGTATGGCTAACCTGGACGCGGAGATGGAAAGAGAGATCGATGAGCTACGAAGGAGGTACCAAACGAAGAGGCAACCGATACTTGACGCAATGGATACCAAGCGGAAACGTCAGCAGAACTTCTAACAGTTTGGTTACTTTTTTTATGCAAATACGTGTGATGACGATAGATAAAGGGTGTACAGTTGTATAAATGAATAGATTTTATTCATCTCGATCTTAATTTCATCAAAGGGAAGAGCATTGTCTAGCAGGTCAGGACCCTTACTTGCGAGCTGAGTGTTTAAAGACGGTTCAAACGCATTTCCTTCTAAAACAATGTTCTGTCTCTTTGTGAATCAAGCACGAGTAATTAATACTAGCCAATAGCCTTACGTCACCAATGTAAATTATTTTACATAATTTAGGTGAACAAGTAATCATCATACTTAATTTTTTATCATTATGTTTACACATTGTTATGCTATTCTTATAGTGATATTACGAATTACGAAATCCCTTCAGCATTCTTTATAAATTAAAACTAAAGGAGGGAAATGAATGCGAGTGAACATAACGAGTATGCCATGTTTGCAATTTTCTTTTTGACAAAAAGAAGAAGTCGGACAAACGTCCACGTGTAACTGATATTCGATTTTCATCCAACACTAGTCACCTACTGTATCTTTTATTTTATCCATAACATTACATTATCAGAATCATTGTTCATACGAAACACGTGCGTAGAGTCATCTCTAAAATGTATGTATTTATCTAGACTCGTGAGTTAACGTATTCGTTTGTTTGTGAAGCAATTCGATATAAGCGATCAAATTTAGAACATACTGAAGAATTTACTCCTTTACTGCCATAGGTGTATTACGCGTTTTTCTACTAACATATGATTAAGTTACAGTATATTCAATTTTTAAGTTTCTTAAACGCAAATTTGTAAATTGTTTAATAATGTCATTGTAATCACCATGCACGAGTATGATAGTGGTGGTAATATGTCAATGATAAAATATTTAATGAGTTTAACTTACTAAAATTAGTCTTCCGTACTAGAATATATTTTGATATTTCAATGATTTGTTAAGTCAGTATTTAAATTGTTGCGATGGGCGTCACAAAACAAGACTTTTAATGATTTTTAGATTTATTTGAAACTTTTATAGAATTGAAACATTTTTCATCACATTTAAAATTTTAAAATAGGTGATCATTATTGTTATCACTTTATTCACATGAGCCATACTTGCGGAAAAGTAACGCGTGTACGTACCGTCAATATTATTGTTACTACACGGTGGAGTAATTCTTTGCTGACGTTAGGCTATTTTACAAGTAGCGGAAATAGATTTATAATACTTAAATGCTATAGCCAGAACTGACTTTTTTGTTTATTTAGGGAGTAACAATACAGAATAACAACATATTTTTGATATAGAAGATATGCACATTATGATCGAAAGAGATTCAAATATTAATTATTATATCCAGTGTTTGTATGGCCCTACCATGACGTACAGGATTATTCAAACAATAGCATTTGAATTTTTACCACTAATAAAAAAATAACTATACGGATAATTAATTTATTCCTTAAAGATTTCCTTGCTGTTTGTAAAGAAACAAATAGAGCGCACCACACACTGCGACATACAATATATACGTATATTATGCGTGTTGCAATAATCTAACAAAAAAATGCTCATGCAGAATTACACATTCGATAGAACATAAATACGTTTGTAGTAAAGAATTTTCTATGTTCATCTTCCACATGTATCATCAAAATGAAAAAAAGAAACGTGCGGAAGTAATATTATAAAAAAATAGTTATACATTTCTATGTATTTACCCATTATTCAACATTTAAAAAAAGCTCGATAAAAATTTTTTTCTATAAGGAACATTAAATAGTCTATGAAATAGAGATCTATAATATTTACGAATATGATATACTCATGTAGACGTCTATTTCATAGGACGATAGCAAACGATTTCATTTCTTCGTATTAGTAAGACACCATATCGTTTTATATTACAATTTACAACTATTCGTTTAGAATTTGAACTATTCAATCATTTTCTTATAAATTGTACCGTTCTTTATATGTTTGAGCAAAATATACAGACTGAAGGCAGAAAATTGTCTATCCAACTAATAATTACCTGTCTAGCTGAAATTATAATCTCATTATATGGCTATAACTCACGGATTACTCCTGTTTAGTATTAGAATAAAATATATTAATTTTCATTTAAGATAAAACGAAACGAAATATAACTGTTAATATAAGACCACTGCCTTTTACATATTTGATTTCAATAATAATAAAGTATTACGTGTACTATAATTTATTTTACTTTTGTTCGTTTACTTCATTAAATGTGTATCGATTAAATACTGTAAACATTTTATTTTCAACAAAATATTTATATATCATACAAAAATATTGTTATATAACATTATAATGCATCATTTGGAAGAGTACGTATTTATATTGTATATTTTGATCTCGTTTTAGTAAAAATAGAGTAAAGTATTCGATTCACAAGTCATCATCACCGATCATACAAAATGCATTATTTTCCATGACATCATATTCTGACGTTTGTCTTGGTTGAATTCTGTTGTTCATATTATTTTTACTATTATTGGCTTTTTTTATTTTCACTACTGACAGTCTATCCACAAGTTTTTTCATGACTGGTTCTGACTTAGAAGGTTCTTTGATGCAATGATTCTAAAGACGGACATATTAACATGAGTTAATGAAATCTAAATATTAATAAGCTAGCATACCTTTTTACTTTCATCAGGTTCGTCATCAGATTTCGATCTCATTGTAACACGTTGGCCATCTCTCATAACATAGGTCCAAGATTTTTGTGATACTTCCTATAAAAGAATTATCTAATGTCTGACAAAAAAATAATGCAATTACTTAATAATTAGTAACTTTTTTACTAACCCGTGTTTTATCGCTACCAACGTTCTTTAATAATAATTCATCGATCATAGCTTGCAAGCATACGGACATCAAAATTGCTTGTTCTGAAGTTATTGTAATCCATTGTAACTGGTTTTTGGCTATTAAATATTCGAAAGACAATTCTAAACTAAAATCGTCGCTTTCTTCACTCCCCCTTTCAGGCCCCTGGAAGAAAATGAAACATTCATCAAAATAAGATATGCCTCTTTCATAAAGTTACGTACGTTCTGTAACGTAGTTATTCGCCAACAACGCATTCGAGACACATCAAACACTTCTTCGCGTGTTACGCCATCAGACAATATGCGCAAATTTAATTGATTTCTACCTATGGCAACTAACACTTTAGAGTCTGGCTGAGGATAATCACAAAAACATGGGGCAAATTGAATGAACCCATAATACTTCGCCGTACGAACTATATCCAGATACTAAAATATATTAATAATATTTAAATTTCATTTTAATAACTATTTCTTTTATCAAATTTATGTATACTTCTTTTTTCTTCTCCTCTTTCTGTAAAACAATCAACTGCTCTTTTAATTCATCTGGTACAGGGATCCACTCCCTTTCAACTTCTGCAACTGCTTGAACATATAATAAATTCACAGCCACTGCATTAGTCATCAATGTAAGATCATATCCAATGTCCCAATAATTTTTTCCAAGCATTACTTTACTTCCTATAATGTGCAGATGTTTATTTGTTATAAAAGGGGACTCAAAGTCTTGTAATTTTCGTAATACTGAAAATATAAAGTGTAAAAAGAGAGATGTATATTGTACGAATCATAAAATTGTTAAAGAACATACTTACAACGAATACCATTTGCTTCATCTTGAACAAGGATAAATAATGCGAAATAAGAATAAAAAGAATTATCTAATGTCTGACAAAAAAATAATGCAATTACTTAATAATTAGTAACTTTTTTACTAACCCGTGTTTTATCGCTACCAACGTTCTTTAATAATAATTCATCGATCATAGCTTGCAAGCATACGGACATCAAAATTGCTTGTTCTGAAGTTATTGTAATCCATTGTAACTGGTTTTTGGCTATTAAATATTCGAAAGACAATTCTAAACTAAAATCGTCGCTTTCTTCACTCCCCCTTTCAGGCCCCTGGAAGAAAATGAAACATTCATCAAAATAAGATATGCCTCTTTCATAAAGTTACGTACGTTCTGTAACGTAGTTATTCGCCAACAACGCATTCGAGACACATCAAACACTTCTTCGCGTGTTACGCCATCAGACAATATGCGCAAATTTAATTGATTTCTACCTATGGCAACTAACACTTTAGAGTCTGGCTGAGGATAATCACAAAAACATGGGGCAAATTGAATGAACCCATAATACTTCGCCGTACGAACTATATCCAGATACTAAAATATATTAATAATATTTAAATTTCATTTTAATAACTATTTCTTTTATCAAATTTATGTATACTTCTTTTTTCTTCTCCTCTTTCTGTAAAACAATCAACTGCTCTTTTAATTCATCTGGTACAGGGATCCACTCCCTTTCAACTTCTGCAACTGCTTGAACATATAATAAATTCACAGCCACTGCATTAGTCATCAATGTAAGATCATATCCAATGTCCCAATAATTTTTTCCAAGCATTACTTTACTTCCTATAATGTGCAGATGTTTATTTGTTATAAAAGGGGACTCAAAGTCTTGTAATTTTCGTAATACTGAAAATATAAAGTGTAAAAAGAGAGATGTATATTGTACGAATCATAAAATTGTTAAAGAACATACTTACAACGAATACCATTTGCTTCATCTTGAACAAGGATAAATAATGCGAAATAAGAATAATATTGCTCAGGCAACCTGATATGTTTATATACTTTCTGTTAAATAGAATATGTTGATTGGATTTTAACTTCTTATAGGATTCTATATTTTAAGATAAAAGTTACCTTCAGAACATTATCAGAGTGATCTCCTGTAGTTACATTTATTGTTATTTTACAGCCATTCATAAGAAAAATATCCATAACTTCATTATTGCATTGTCCTCCAATGGTTTCTTGTTGTGCATTTAATAAGAACCCATTTAACATTCCCGATTTATTAATTTCTGGGTTTTGTCCAATTGCTTGTATATATTTTTCCAAAGCGAGGCGACGTTCTTCCTGTTGATTTGTTGTTAAAGGAAAAAACCTTTTGGGTGGAAATGATGGGAGAAATATGTCCAAATCTTTTGCCAATTGTTCATGCAGACTATACAATTGTTTATATCGCACAGTACAATGAAATAATCCATTTATGTGAATATTATAGCCCTGAAAGTTAAAATAATGTGAATATATATTTCATAACAGTGTAACATTTGTACTCACGATGTATGCATTGCCACTTGCATCAATAAATTCTTGTGTATCTGGTATAGAAAAATGCATTTTCATAAAAGAATATCAATGCTTTATAATCAAAATATGTACAAAATATATACAATAGCGTGTTGCAAATAAATTAGAACTATCTAATGTTTCCTTTATTATTTAACAAAATCAACATATGTAAAAGGATAATGAAAATATCTACATAAAAAATTCTGCATTATATGAAAGTGTGATTGATACTATGGATGTACACACGTAGGTACATTTTAAATCATTGCACCATCTGGAAAACAAAAATTATGAGTATAGGAAACAAGGATCTAAATGCACAGTGAAATCAAATATTAATGTGTACAATAAGTTAACAAAAATTGCGTTAATTTGAGAGATATTAATTTACGTAAATAATGATATTACTTTGGTTTCGTATTATTTCAGTTGAAGATAAGTATTTAAATACGTATTGTACAGTTTCACGAAACACTTACGTATGTATCGTCTACTTGGTTTACCATCATTATTTATGACAATAGGCGTATACGTTTTACACCCACTCAACAATTAGCTATAACTATACACATTTTTCATGATTAACGCTGACACATTTTTAATGCTCACGTTCATACAAAAATCAGATTGATTCTTAGGACTTTCGACATTGATTCAAGCTTTTATTCGGTAAGAAATTCGATCTGGAAACTGAGATATTTAATTTATTAATGGTTATATTTAAAAGGTAATTCGAAGATAAGATTTCATACGTCATTTTATCTCAAAATACGAATAGATTCTTTAAGTACCGACATGTCGACAAGTTAGTAATTACTGACTTACTGATTGCTGACATAAAACATAGATTTTCCAAAATTCTTCTGTAAAAAGTTACAGTATTTAAGTTTTTATTATGAAGAACGATCGTGCACCTACCCAAAACGATTTCCGACCTTAGAGTATAGATTTGTCCTAAATCGTCAATCTTCAATTAAACTGGAAAATTTAATTTTTGCTTGTGTGCATGCCAAGCGGGTCAGGAATCGTTTTGCATAACTGTACATACAATTATGGGATCAATTTTATAAAATTCGGAAAAGTTTAGTTTGTGTTATCCTTTCAACACGAGCTTTATCGTGCAAAATACTCAAATTTGTATTGGGCTCGCTACTGCGAGATGCGAAGAAAAGAATTCGCACAAGCAATTATGAGAACCTTTTATTAGAAACACATACATATAAAAAGATTACTCGTCCAGTTGTATACATTTTTGACACGCAATTACGTAAGTAAAGTTAGAACGTATGTAACAGAATGATTATATTACAGTAGTTTCAATTTCTAATAATACACATTTATTTCACATCACGTTCATATAGAGCATTGTATCATCTATTTGAAATTTACTATTATTGTATCAAAATTGAGCAAATTATATGTAATGATTAACCTGACTGACGCAGTGGTTATTAATGGAACTAAACTAAATGTAATAGAAGATAAATATAAACGGAGAAAACACTTTCAGTGATTATCAATATTCATCTTCCAGCGCGAAAGATGTTTTTTCAATTTTTTTTTTTTGACTAGAGTATTTTATCTCATTTGTCTTTGTGTCTACATCACTTAGTAATTGTATGATTAAACAATTAAAGTAATTCAAAATATCTTTCTGTTTACGCTATACTAATAAATCGTAACACTTTATATGAAACATGGCACAAAAATGTGTGAAATTTTAACAATTCTGCAAGTGAAGACATAAGAACATAAAACTGCATATTGTTAAAATCGTAATTTGTATTTTTTAACTGTGTACAAAATGAGAACCGTATAAAAAAACATGAAATATTCATATTAACGCTTACTACAATTATCATATCAAGAATTGTACGAATAATTATAATTATATAGATACAACAAGTGTTTCTATATGTAGCGATCTATTAAATATGATCATTATTAACATTCGCATAATCCTATATAAATATATCTTACCAGTAATGAATAAGAAAGTAAATGATGATGGACAGTATGAAATTGGTAGCTATACAACGTCATGACTTGCTATAATTGTGCGTTAACACTATAACAATAACAAGCTTAAGATTTATCGTGTATTTTATAAAGAAATATTGCCAGGTATACTGTACTGTCCTTTTCGGGAATGTGTATCAACTGCTCGAACCGCAAAGTAATAATTATTCCCCTCGGAAAACTATAACACAAGAACGTAATAAGTATATGTACACGAAGTTTATATTATTTCTTATTTTATTATTCAAATTACTTGTGTAAGCGTGCACGCCATCGGCAGTGGTAATGCTCGAACGTCGCCTACTTTCTTCCATAGTGATGTGTTAGGCGCAACACCATTAATTTCTTGATACGCGTACAATTGATAACTAGCTATGTCTGCATGTTTGTCTGATAAGGTCATATTCCAAGACAGTACTATGCCTAGAAAAAATAATAAGTTTTTTACTCGTTCACCAAATGATTACAATACTCGGACAGTTTAGTTTTAAAACATACCATTTGCAACTTTAGAAATTTTCAATGATGGGGCTGGTGGTGGAAGTTTCCAATGAGGATTTGGAGCATAATTGCGTACATCTGGTAAAGGCGCGGGGTGCTACAAACATAATTATGAAAAAATAACCGTATTGTTTGGTCAACGATTGTACTTATTTATGGAACATTAAGTAGAAATTTATAATACCTTGTTCATTTGTACATTCGGTGCTGCTGACGTAGTTAAAACTTGAACCGTATCACTTGCTACTGTTGATATTCCTATAAATAAGTTATATTGTAATCCATCGGATAGTATTTATGTAATTCATTTAACTGAAATTGCGTACCTGTTTTGTAAGTTATAGTTGAAAACGGAGGTCTACATGTAGTCACTGGTCTCATCTAAAATTGAATAAAAGTTTTTCTTATATTAATTTTATTATATTACGACTAAAAAATATATGTTTGTCTCTATATGTATTAGAAAATAGTTTTACCGAAGTGGTACTCGGCGTTATTAAGAATTGTTTGGATCCTACATTGGTTTGCATTACGTAAGCTAATCGAGGCGCATTCATATTATTCTGAAAACAATACATTTTTGTACGATACATTCTTACGATAAATAAATAAATTCTACTTTTCTGATTACTCACCACTAGAGCGGTAGGTGTTGGTTGGCTAGCGGGTTGAACTACTCTTAAACTAGGAGATTGATGATTCGTTATAGCTACATTGCTAGGAATGGTTTGAATTACCCTTTGGAAGCATTGTTGTTGTGGTTTTTGCGTTATATTTATTTGTTGATCAGCTGTTGTAGTTTTTACCACTGGTGCACTAGTACCTTTGTTTTTCTCTTCTTCGTCAGTGAGATCGATGAGATCATTTGCATGCGGTTTTGTAACATTTGTCGCAATAGATGCTTGACGATTTACATGATTTGGTAATTTACCATTTATGGCTACAGTTTGTTGCGGTGGTTGCTGTAAGAAACAACATACATATGCAAACAAAATTTTTTTCTGATCAACTTAATACCGAGACAAATCAACTTACACTTGACATAATTGGTTGGGCGTTAGATTGATTCGGTAACGTTAAAGAATGTTGGGTATCTACAGGCTTAGTGACAACTAAAGCTGCAGGGGTAATGGTAGTCATTATGTTTGAAGACGTCGTGTTATTTTGCGATACAACTGGCGTCTGTCCATTTATCAAGTCTGTCCTCCTGGGGGATCTTACTTTAATTCCTCTTCTTGGGCTACCTGCATTATTTGTTTCAGTAGTAGAAGTACTTGGCGTGTTGCTACTGTTGGAAACATGCAAGAGCCTAATATTTGAATTTTGTTGTAATTGCCGTAGATTCTGCACTCCAGGTTCCTATGTGAGAAACATATTACAATAGAATAAATTTAACGTCAAATTTAGTAGATATTTAAAATGCAGTGCTATCTACATACCACTAAGATATTAACTTGCAATCCAACGGATCTATTGATCTTAATTGGTGGTACAGTTTTGTCATTATTCGCTCGCCGATCCGACGCATAACGATTCAGGACCATTTCAAAATCTTTAACTTGTCTAGCTAATTGTTGATACTTGGCACGCATTATTTCTTGATTCCTTTCAGATGTTTGTGCTTGTTCCCTCAATTTACCAATTTCATCACGCATAGTGATCGTTTCAACAATTTTTTGTATTAAGAGTTCCTCTAATTCCTTTAAGTATATATTATTAGTGAAATATAAAAATATAAATAAGA